TGGACCAATCACCAGGAGACGGTGAGTTCTAGTCCCGCCTTAGGCATGAAAGCCGACTTGGTAAATTTGGGCCAATCACCAAGTGACTGTGAGTTCTAGTCCCGCCTTAAGCATGAAAGCCGAATGGGTGACATAGGGCCAATCACCAGGAGACGGAGAGTTCTAGTCCCGCCTTAGGCATGAAAGCCGAATGGGTGACATAGGGCCAATCACCAGGAGACGGAGAATTCTAGTCCTGCCTTAAGCATAGAGGTTAACTGGGTGACTTTGGGCCAATCACCAAGAGATGGGGAGTTCTAGTCCCGCCTTAGGCATGAAAGCCGGCTGGGTGACTTTGGGCCAATCACTAGGAGACGGTGAGTTCTAGTCCCGCCTTAGGCATAAAAGCCGGCTGGGTGACTTTGGGCCAATCATCAGGAGACGGTGAGTTCTAGTCCCGCCTTAGGCATGAAAGCCGAATGGGTGACTTTGGACCAATCACCAGGAGACGGTGAGTTATAGTCCCGCCTTAGGCATGAAAGCCAACTGGGTGACTTTGGACCAATCACCAGGAGACGGTGAGTTCTAGTCCCGCCTTAAGCATGAAAGCCGAATGGGTGACTTTGGGCCAATCACCAGGAGACGGTGAGTTCTAATTCTGCTTTGGCATGAAAGCCAACTTGGTAACGCTGAGCCAATCACCAGGAGACGATGAGTTCTAGTCCCACCTTGGGCATGAAAGCCAGCTGGGTGACTTTGGGCCAATCACCAGGAGACAGTGAGTTCTAGTCCCGCCTTAAGCATGAAAGCCGACTTGGTAAATTTGGGCCAATCACCAGGAGACGGGGAGTTCTAGTCCTGCCTTAGGCATGAAAGCCAACTGGGTGACTCTGGGCCAATCTCTGTCTCTCAGCCTGGCCTACCTCACAGGGTTGTTGTAGGGGAAAAGGAGGAGAAGGGTGTATTAGGCACATGCTTTGAGTCATTTATAAATAATAATAAAGGTGGGAGATAAAGAAAGATTTTTCCACCTCCGGCTCTTCCAATGTAGACCGGGGGACCTGTGCCTCTTTCCGACATTCTTTCATTGCTTTGGCATCTAACCACTATTCACTCCTTCCCCCCCCCCCAAGAACTAACCCTCATGGGACCCTCCAGATTTGCACTTTGGTGATCCTGGTTCTGCCTCTTCCACGCCGCTGCCCTCTTGGACCCCAAGCCCCATAACTCCCATCCTTCGCCACGGTGGGATTGGCAGCCCAGCTCCCCCCCCCTTGCAGGGCCGCAGGGTTGGGGAAGGCCGGCCCAGAGACTCCGGCTTGGAGTGTGTGTGTGGGGGGGAAGACGGGGGCCACTCACCATGTCGCACAAGGCCACGTAGAGGAAGAGGCCCGTGGCCACCGTGAAGACCCAGGCCTCGAACTCCTCCCCCGTGCTGACCGAAAGGGCGATGTAGAGGCCCAGGAAGGCGGTCAAGGCGCTGAGGAAGTTGAGCAGAAGGGCCCGCTTGACGCTCAGCCCGGCGTGGAGCAGAGCAGCGAAGTCTCCTGGGGGGGGAGGCAGAAGGGGCCGGTGAGAAAGGGGGG